AATAATAATAATAATTCAATGAGACTAATTAAAAATAATTTGCGTTTTGTTATGACAAATGCTCATTTAGATAGCCTCATGATGGTTGGAATACATCGTGATAGGTGAAGCAACCTCGACCATGACAAAGTGGTTGACAGATTTCATGCAAAATTTCCAAAATATAGAATTTCTCTTTCAATAATGAGGATTTGAAAATAAATTATATGGTTACATTGCATACTCTTTATTTCTTGCTTTATTCAAAATGTTTTGGTTTTGGAAGCTGATGTCAACATTAGAAAGCATAGCCTACATGAAGTCATATTATAGTAACTCGATGCCTATCAAATAAGTAATAAAAATTCGCCATAATTCATCAAATATCCGTGGCCACCGGGGACCCTAGGCGGCCCTCTGGCCCCCAGCCAAGTGAGACTCGATTCGCTCCACTAGCGCCCCCCCCCCGTCGGGGCCTTTAGCCCCTCCGTCGGGCAGATCCTGGCGTCACCCCTGCATAAAGCTTAAACGAGTGTAAACTTCATATAAATTATATAAATTTCATCCGAACAATTTAAATGATTAAATGTAACTGTTATCTTTTAAATAAACTCTCTTACGTCAAATCGGCTAGGGGTCCGTGTACCATAGGCCTAGATTAAGTGTTAAGTGCAAGTACAAACAAAAGGTACATGATTAGAATCAAACATAGAATCTAAGCTAACAAAAACAACATATCCAAAACAAGTCTACGTTATATTAGGCCTATATTGAAAAAAATGTAAACTTTCGGCCAAATTCGGCCAAATATAGTTTGGCCTGGCTTTTCAAACGTTACGGCCAGGTAAATTTTTATACGGCCAGATTTGAGGAATCTGGCCGTTAAAAAGGCCAAATGGCAACCTTGGAGCTGGTTTTCTGGTTTTATTGTGTGAGCGCCCTCATCTAGGTCAGCAGCTGCAGAGACTACGTTACCAAGTTACGCTCGACTTTTTGGCGCTGTAGGCGCTATGGCGCTATGTTACGTTCGCTGTTAATTTGGCTGTGTTTGATGTGCTGATGATGGCTGCTTAATATCGTAATGTAAGGTTTAAAATGGTTTAAACGATGGCTCTAAATAAATAACCCATCCCTTGTGCAAGTAAAATAGGCTTTAAAGGACCGGCGTTATAATATATACTGTTGCTACTCTTCAGACACTTTGTGTAAGCCCCAGGCTAGGGCCTAGGCTAGGCCTAGGCCAATATGGTACTAAGTGTACTACTGTACTGTAGCCCAGCTGGCAGGGGCAGGCCCGTACGCACAACCTAGGCTAGGCCCTAGGCCTAAACTAAAGGTTGATCTAGCTAGGCCCTAAGTAGTATCCTAGGCCTTTATGCAACGAGGCCAATTAAGTTGTTCTAATCTTTCTAAGAGCATAATCTATATTCCCATTTCTCTGCTTCAATGCAAAGTGTATATAGTTTGTACAGGTATATAT